GTATGATTTGATTTTGCTCTTTTTGCAGTTTTCTGACCTGGTTAGGTTCCTTTTTCTTCTATATGTGTCATGATGCAGGTGATTCAAGGAGGAGGGTAAAAAGGTTGGAAAGTTCTGTAACTTATTCATTTATATCAATTTCTAGCTTAGAATGTGTTGAAGATTTTTGTTAATCTTTATAGCAAATTATACACGATATTTGTTTGCTGAGTTTATACACGATATTTGTTTCTCTGGAGTAATTATTGTATAAATGCCTTTTAGGTTCTTGCTGCTGATTCGAAGTGCATTGAGAATGCTATAAGATGTGGAGGGTTAGCCCCAACAAAGGCTTCTTGTATAAAGAATATGTTGAGTTGCCTGTTTGAGATGAGAGGGGAGTTATGCTTGGAGTACCTGCGGGACTTGTCAGTTGATGAAATAAAGATGGAACTCTCTCAATTCAAGGGGATCGGGCCTAAACGGTATCTTCAGATTTTAATGCTATTATTCAAAAATCATTACGTAGATCGCAGGAAGCTCAACTTTAGGACCTCATAACATTCTAAACTTTAACAACACTCTGTAGAGGTAGCTAGAATATTGCTAAAATAACAACTATAATACCTTATGTTATCTTAGGTTCATTTTATCATCCTAATGAATTGAAATTTCCAACTTAATGAGGACTGAAATCATGAGAATAAGAAATTTAGTTTCGATATGGACCTTCGTCGTGAGGCAGCTGCTTAGTAGTTTGCATAATTGATTTTTATATAGAAATTATTATCGAGTGTGGCTAGAGGTCTAATTGAAGTGGCTGAGAAAGTCGCTCATCATGTGACCAGATCATAATCCCCAGTTGGCCAAGAAGTTTTATAATTTTAAATGAATTGCAGGTGGCATGTGTATTGATGTTTAATCTTCAGCAAGATGATTTCCCAGTAGATACACATGTAAGTTGACTCAACTATTTCAAAGAAGCATGGCAATTGGGTTTTTAGCTGACTTTGGGACATCTCTACAGATTTTTCAGATTGCAAAGGCAATTGGTTGGGTGCCCATAGAGGCAGACACTAAACATGTTATATCGTCCAACTCGCTATTGCTTCCTTAGAGTCATATGCAACATAGTCCGCTCTCCTTCATATGCATAAGAGCTCATTTTATTATAGAGGTTTAGCTAAAAGTAACTACTGCAATTTAATTAAGAGTAAATGAATATATGGCTACATTTGAGTTCATGACTGTTGAGCAATACAAGGCTAGAAATATAGCCCATCCAGTGAATTTATCTTGCTTTTTAAACAAACTTACTCAGACCCCCATCATTTCTTTACATCTTTTGGGGACTCCCCCAACACAAATCAGTTGGAAAAAAGAACAAATTGAATTAAATCCAACTCTGCATGTACAATATTAGCCTATGATGCAAGCACATGGTACAAATTTCACCCCGCTGTGTGCATTACAGCAGGCATATATGGGTTAAAATGTCATTTCTATGTTGGTTGTTTTGCATAAACTTGTTTTTTTTTTTTTTTTGTCATCATCAGATGTTTTGTGGCACCTATTCCAGGACAACATTTTATGGTTCCTGCTCCACCTCAGTTCATTCAAGGCGGCGGTTCTGGACAAAATGTCGGGTAAACATCTGATTAAGGTGAATGAATCTAATGATATCTGAAGTCTGCATCAT